TAAGAAATACAGAAACCGGGCGGGCTCAATTACTTCTACCACTTTTACGATATGGCAACTTCGTGACACTTCTGGCTGATCATCTCTCTGCTCAGTGTGAGCCACCTGCCTCTTTAGTTGCAGACTGTTAGGACTCATTACCCTGAAATTTAATTTTTTCCTCTACCTTAAGCGGGCGTCTACTTTTTGGTGTGATAGGAAATCTATCATAGATGAGATGCCCCCTGAGTCAAACCCACCGGCTGATGATAACTTTCTGACCGTATTTCGACGGTTTGTTGGAAAATACTAAAGTAACGAAATCGACCCCGAAATGCTTTTAATTTTTTATCTATAGTAAGATATTCACTGAGGTATAATAGTTCTCATATTTTCAATTCATGGGTCTTAAATGACTCTAATTGCCGCTATATTGTTTAGTTCACATAAAGCTCTATTTTGAATATTATTAAAACTCAGGGATTATAATAAGGTATAATATCTTTGTTTTGACAAGTTGGTTTTAAATAACTTTACTCCACTGCCCTTCGTATACCATAAATTACCGAGATTCTGTTTTTACCTTTATACAATCCAGCCAAATTAATTAAAGCCTAAACTTGCTTTCACCTTTATTATATCCTCTGGCTTTACTGAATATCGATGTGCAGCATCATATGATGTGATATACCAGTAGTTTCGCATTCGTTTTTTGTGTAGTATGATTTAGTATCTCGTCTAAAAAAAAAAAAGCAAGACTTCAGAATTGTATGAATAACTTCTGCAATCAACTTCTCCCCAAAAGATTGGTAATTGTATTATCTAAACGAGTTCTTACATTTTTTGTCTTTGTAGACGATCTGGATTATTTGCGTTAACAAAAAATCTTTTTCATCAACTGTGGGTTCCACATTTGCATCTTCTTCTTCTTGTACCTAAGTTTTTATTGTTTGTTATATCGAATAACGGAATGAACCCCTTCCACCCACTGATCCATTATTGGTAACGCGCTAAACTCTCCCATAAAGCCTGTACCCGTTGCTGGTATTGTTAGTAAACATTTACGTTAGGTGTATAATAATTTAGTTATTGCAAGTGTGAAAAGTAGTAATAGCCAAGTCTTACCCATAAAATCAATTTCATAAAATCCTGTTAAATTTAAAGTACTGGGGTATCATATTCTCCAATCGCACACAATTGACAGAAAAGAGGCATGGGATGCGTCTCTTAACCAGGTTTTTGCGAAGGTACTGTATGCGCGGTATTTAGGATATCAACTATTAGTGGACGTGGGAACTAAGAAGGGAGCTCAAACCCAATAACCCAATTTGCAAGTTATCGCCCTGTTGAGGGCTTTTGACTTTTGTGTTTCCTTTTTGATCTTATCGGGTACCAGGAAATACCATTAATAAAAAAAAAAGGAATTAATTTATGGAGGTACTTTACACTTTCATAAAAGGTAAAATATTTTGTCAAGATTCAGAATAATAAAGACAAAATTTCAGTTATTAAACCTCAGTTAACATACATAAGAATAAAGAATATGACTTAACATGAGATATTATCATATTATTAATTATGTAAACTTATTAATCTACCTTTACTTTGTTTTAAATAACTTATTTTTCGTTTTTGTTTTAACTTCGTGGAATTCGCATAAGAGCTTGTATGCGAACTGTGAAACTCTCAAGAGATACTACTTTATCTCTCTTCTGGTTTAAGAGAGGAATAAGGATTCAGGAGTTTAATGCCACGCATAGAGACTATTGTATGTCTTAATAATAATATAAATCAGCATGTACGGGCTATTTTTTTTTATGTATTGTATATATTTTTTATATTATAGATTAATTTTTATAAAACCAAAACACTGAAGATCGGTTTAACTATGTAATAAGCTGGCGTGCACATACTAGTTCTTAGTATGACACCTCTACAATTTGCGTTTCTGGTAGGCGTATCTAGTAGCTATTACTGAAAGAAAGAGAAAACGTAACTCAAGGCATTATCTATTAACATAGCAACTTTTTCTTTGCAAATAAATCTGAACGATGAGACCCAACTGTTAATCTTTTGGTATAATGTGCCCCTTTTTGTGTTTAATAAAAGTAACAACGTTTAAGGTAAAATTTTTATTCACCTTAGATCCCTCAGTTACCTTCTAATATATGTAGGTTAAATCTGTTCTTTTTAAGTGTACAAATATGATTTAAGGCTTAGGTGCTAGTCAATTTTAGTTTATTTATAGACGATAAAAACTGGCATAATATCAAAAGAAGTTAAATCCAAAAGTACTCTAAAATCCAAAAGTACTCTAAAGCTATTATACTCACTTCAACAAAACGTATCGTTTGCAGTAAGATATTCTTCAGAAATAAAACTAAGATTTTTATTTTTAAACTACCGTAACTCACTTTCTCTTATAAATTAAACGTCTCCTCTAATAGTTTATATTTTTAACGCAAAAAAAATTATTATCGCTGTGCCATAATTGCCTTAAAGGAGCTGCAAGAATAAGAAAGGCTTATAAATAGTCTAACAAGAAATGGGGGCGGAAGTTCTCCATAATCAACAATCTTTTAAATTGGCTGCCTGCTGAAAATATATAAAAACTAATAAACTATGTAAAATTCAAATTTATAAGATTTACAAAAAAACTTTCAGATTAAGAATATCAAAAAATTAAAAATTGCGAGGTGGAATCTTGGGCTCTTCACTACTTTTCTGAGAAGGCGTGGGTAGACTTTGCTTTCTGTTATCAAAGAATTGTTTTCCTAAAGGTACATTAGAAAGTCTATGGGGAGGCGGGGGAAGGCTCTGCTTTCTGTCGTTTAAGAATTGTCTTTCTAGTGAACTATTGGAAAGTCTAGAAAATTGAGATGGCTTGGGCGGCACTTGGGGACCTAAATAACTTCCTATGTAAAGTTACATTATTTAAGTATAATAAGTGTTAACATTATTAGTAATAGTAGCATTTAAACAAATAAATAATTAATAAAAGAAATTAACCCCTAAAATTTCAGTAAAATATAAAAAAATTGTGCATATTTGTTATATAGATCATAAACTTGAATAAGGTCTAGCAGTTGGAGATACTGGTCCTCTGGCACCCGGAAAGGACGTAGACTTACTATTATAATTAATTATTAAGGGTGAATAAAACAATAATAATCATAAAGCTCGCTAAAAAGAAACAAGTTTAATACCAATAGATCATAAAATATTTAACTTGCCTGCCTAAAGTAGTATCCTCACTCAACATTGATAGAGATCTTGAAGAAGACTGAAGTCTCTCTCTCTTGCCTACAAACCTTAAATCACAGCAAGTCTTATAGGCAGATATTGCTGTTATTACTAATAGGAGTTGGCTCCAAAGCAGCTGTCACTTCAGCCTCAAGTTGGCACAACTCCGGAAGAGCTGCTTTTAAATCTTTAATTGATTTTTGATCTCCAATAATAGATAATAGGTTAAAGAAGTTATTTTAATAACTTATAAGCAACCACCTCCACCCAAAAGAACGCTAAGTCTTCTGTTAATATTGCTCATATCCCTCTCATTACTTTCTAGACTTTGATTAAGCTCGCTGATTTCGCTATGATAACAAAAAATAACTACAAAAACTTCTTAAATAACAATATGATTTCTGCTAAAATAAAATACTTTTTCACATTAAGTAATTTTTATTTTACAGTTGATAGTTATTTATAAAATAGTTTCGAGACCAACGTTAAACTACCTTTTTATTCTTTCTTCCTCCTTCAAAATAAACTTCTGTTGGTGATTCATGAGAAGACCTATAAAAAAGAATTTAATAGCCGATAACTATGGAGAAAGGAAATAAATACTTCAATAGGAAATTAAGAGTACTGAAAGACAAATAGTGCAGTTAATTATAAATCTGCAATTTGTTTAAATGTTAACATCAGCTAAGGTTACCCTTACTTTAAAAAAAAGGGGCTTTCAGTGGTTAACACCTTTAACGATCAATGTATAGGATGGGCCAAAGAGGGTTAGTGCAAGTCCTATCTGACCATTCACAGATTTTTCAAAAAAATTTAAATAAAAATTTTTTTATAGAAAAATTGATTGGCTCCTAAATTCTAGGGATTACGATATTAGTTAGCCAACTCCTAACTATTAACTCAGCTGGGGCTTGCAAGTATGACCTTTAAAAATAACTAAATAAAATTTATTTTGTGTGGTTCAATATCATAAATTAAATCTTTTGTACATTTACTATGATACGCAAATTGCAAGCATAAATTTTTCTTTTCATAGTTGTTCCTTTTTTTTAAAAAGTCAAATATTTTCCGGACGCTGAACTCAGGGGGTCGGAGGTTGAACTTATTTCGTTTGCATATAGTGTGATGCAATTTTTCAAATGACTTCATAAAAAATGCAAAAAGTTGTCAATGTGAATCAGACCAACATGACCTTGAGTTTATACGTATGCGACCACAACTTGAAAAATTGGTTCCTAAGGTTAGTTAATGATTTAGAGCCTAATACCTCAGTTTCGTTCTTCGACTGCAGGTGTAAATTAATACAATAAATTGTTTTGCTTCTTTACTACTATAGACATTATAATGCCAAACCGAAACACATACCTTCTTTTTATTAAGCCAGGCTCTTATGCTTGTAGTAGTTCAGCCACATCATGTGCGACACCACAGATACTAGTGAATAAAGACCGAAGTAATCGTTATAACATTCATAATTGTCAATTCTTAGTCTAGCATATAAAACAACATTATACCGTATTATTCGTGCTTAGGAATCGTTTTAATCAACCACTATATATTGTGTATCTTGTTTCAGTCTAATTTAAAGACTATGACTAAACCAAATTACTTTTTTAGTAAAGGCATAATTTTTAGTCAAAAATGATTGGTGATGACGATGAGGGCACCTCTAGCCCATCTTAAAGGGTATCTAACCTTTAAGTCATCGTTCTTTGGACCAGCCTGTTGATACCTTTTATAATAAAAGAATCATCACTTTATCGTCTTCTTCTAACCTATACCATATTGTTATCTTTATTAGCTTTTCTATTTTTTTAATCCAGTTTTCTTTTCCTTTGAGCTATTTAATTTCATAACTATTACGTTCTTCTAAACCTATTAGTTACAAACTGTTTAAATAAAGTTTTTTTTAATTGTTTTAAAATATAAAGTAAAACTAGTTAACTAAGTATATAGTTGTCCTCTAGATTACTAAGCTATTTATTAACTTTGATTAAAACCCCCTCTAGACTAAGACCGTTACCTTTATAATAACTCTGGTCCTCAAAACCAACGTATAATAACTGCGGCAATAAAGACGGGGTTAAACAGAAAAGGAAGAAGGCGGAGAAAAAAATAAACGAGTCACACATGTTTTTAAAATATATATAATATCTATACATATTAATTAAATTAATTTATAAATTACCTAATAAAAAATAATTAATTATCCTCAATTAGTTCTGTACTGTTAGGTAATTATAACATAAACACTCTACCTTAATCTCTTACAGCACATCCTTTGTTATCTTCCCCAAAACATAAGGTAAATTTTTTCTACATAATATCTTTGTGAACATATCCGCGAGTATATTCTCGGAGCGACAATATTTAAGCTCAATTTCTCCATCTTCTAAGCATTACTTTAACTAAGTGTAACCTTAAGTTAATACATCAGGGCAATTTAGTTCCTCTAAACCCCTTGGCAATGTATATAGCCGGCAAGTTTGAATAAATATAAGCAATTTTTCGGCAGAATATCCAAATTCATTTAGAAGACTTTGCCTTCAATTAAAGTACCCGAATGCACTGTTATGACTTACTTTAAGTCTCCTAAACAAATAAGCATCCATTTATAATTATAATGATTTTACTTCTACTTTTTAAAACGTGTTCAGACGCATGACTTACACATGTTTGTACTTCGACCTCTAAAATTTTTTTCACAAGGTCATCAGTTCAAGCGATTTTGTTCCTTTTAAATAGCTAAAAAATTGCTTAGCTACTACCCAGAGTTGGTTCCATAAACCTTAGGGTTTTTGCCAGTTTATTTACTGAGGTAGCGATACCTGACCTAGTGACGTTAGCGAGATATTGCAAGTGTCCTATTAATTCGTTATAAGGACGATTACGGATAGAGGAGTTCAAGTTTATAGAGGTACAACACTCATGATGCACACCGTGGCCCTGGCTGTGGCTATTCAAAATTCTTGTGAGATGTGGGTTTTCATAATTTCTGATTTATCAATAATTTCATCCCTAGTTCATTAATTTGGAAACAAGAAAGTTTTTATTAGGCGTTTCTTTTAATTAATCCAACTAATTTAAGTAATTTTCTTGTCTTTAGAGCATTTTTAGTGAAATTCTCATATCCTTTACGTAATATAGTCAGGATATTGAAATTCGCTTCCATTACTGTAAAAGTCACATGACTCAACCTTAAATTAGTTAAAAAACTGTTTGCAACGCTCGGCTCCATCCTTCCTAGGTAACGCTCCCTCATAGCACTCAAATTAGTGCACGTGATTAGTTAACCATTTTTAGGACGATCTTTTACAAATATGCCCACCATTTGCACGTTCGAGGAGAAACCCAAATAGTTTGTTATCTTAAAAGGCTAGACGCCCCACTCTTGCTGCGGCTTCTATTCCGATCTATTAGTTTTTATATGACCTGATGTCTAATATTGTCCTGTCGAACTGTTATAATGTTCTGTGTTTGTTCTCTTCTGTTCCTTTTACTTGTCTCATATTTAAAAGTTATATACGTTTATTAAATTATTAAATATTATTATTACGCCCAGCAATCTTTTTAAAAGTTTCGTTACCTTTGGGTGCGTAACACCTACACCTTTTAGTTTATATTTAATTATACTCGTACCATAAGTACCTCGCTCGTTTCGTTCTCTAAGAAGCTTCATTAAGGGATAGCCTCTTATTGGAAGTTTCACCCTTTAATATGATAAGTTCAACATTCAAAGGTGTTATTTTACCAACACATCTCCACCCTTGGCGTAGTTAAGGGAGGTATTTTTTAAATCGCATTGTAGATGTTCCTAAGCATACTAAAATGAACGAGTCATTTCCCTAAAGGTTAAAGGGCTCATAGAGGCATAATAATAAACGGTAGAAACTGTAAAAAAAAAACTCTAAAACTGAGTTGGTATCTATAAATGCCTTCTTCTTTAATCTTATAACGCTATCGGTATTTTTTAAAAGGTCTCTGTCGCATGAAAGGCCGTCCCAATTCCATTTTCTCAAGAACTCTCAGTCCTTCAAGCATTAAAAATGCCATTTTTCCTCTAATAAAGCTCCTTGTACGATATATGGTGTATACTCTTCAAGTCATAGTAAGAGGTTTGAGTTCAATAGCTCTAATAATATTAATTACTTTTCCATTATCAAAAAAATTACTTTAAATCTGTTTCTTTTTTACCTTCTATTACTATAATGTTGTACCATAGCAATTTTCCTTTGTAGTTAAATCTTACTTTAATTCGCTAACCGGGTGCAAATGGCATATTCGGGTTATTAGTACCAAGCTCGCGCTTGGATTGGGTCTGCATAATATTGGTTGAGGTGGTGTACTTTTAGCTTCCAACTCTTCATTACTACTTAAAAAGGGGCCGATTTCTTCCAACCAATTATTATAGTAATCACAACTAAGCTTTTAGTAAAAAAAATGGTTAAAACGTTTTTTGTTGGTATATGGCTTAAAAAGGATTTTTTTAAAACTTCTAATCTTTACAATATATTGATTGCGCTATTATTATATATTCGGTAACAAAGAACTTTGGGATGGCCCTAAAAGAATTTATTTTATGTATTTAAAAGTTCTCCACGTAAAATATTTTTAACTTTTCAAGTCGGTCAAACATTGTAAAAGTTTTTCCAAGCATTGCACGCTTAGTTTAAAATAAGAACAGTGCAGCTCATGGCTTCAACCCAAAACTTGCTAGGTAACGTATCTCCTAGATGCATAGCCTTCGTCATAGATCTTAATAAACCGTTGTATCTCTCCACAGTTAGATTATGTGATGGCATGTTGGACGCTGTGTAGGTAGAAATTACACTCCTAAGCTTGCGCATTGAAAGCTATCGGAATTTTCTTTGTAAGTAAGTTGTATAAGTAATTATCAGTCCAGAAAAATGCGAGTTGGCACCGGACGGGAATTGCTCCCGCAACCTTGAGATTGTGAGGCAAATGCTCTAACCACTGAAATACTGTGACAACTCACATCTTCGGTTTTATAAATTACGTATACAACTTTTGTTAAAAGCCATGCGGCGAAGGTAAACTCGGTACCAATGCCCGAGTGAATTTTCCTAACCTGATACCTATTACCCAGATGTTCGTACAACAACTGAAATACCTGCCAAATAGTCCGTAAATACTACTCACGCCCGTACTTTATTGCATTTAATCCCGTTATGGCCAAACTTAGCCCCGTCAGTGATAACGAGTAGGACCCGTGTAAATCAACACCAATCCTTTGCACTCACTAAGTTGAGAATAATTTTTACGAACCTCTTTTAACCAAATTTTTTCTTATATTGGATTCGTTACATGTAATACGAGGTAGGTTTTTTTCTATAGTTCTACATTCAAAGTTCGGTCTTTTAATGCTTTAACAGTCTAGTGAGTTCGATATGATTTAATATTCGATACCATCCCGGTTTAATAAAAAAGGCATGCAATTTCAAGTTTTATATTATAAATCCCATCGTGCTCTCTTGCGCTATCTTCTGATGTTCTGCAGTGGATAAAAAATTAATTAACTTTTCATCTTTATTGCACTGTTATTATTAAGAGTACTGCATTCTTTTTGTCACATATTTACCGACGCTTATTAAATTATAAACGCGCTGAAGGAAAAATAAAGCCATGCGATTACAGTATACATTCCCTCCGGTGGTCTTAACGATTTCTG